CTACTGTTTTGTTTGTTTGTTTGTTTTGATAGCATTGATTTCTGCTCTAATCCTTATTATTTTCTGTCGCTTGCTGTTTTGGGGTTTAATTTGCTATTCTTTTTCCAGCTCTTTAAGTTGTAAGGTTAGGTTGTGTTTCTGAGACCTTTTTTCCTTCTTTAAGAAGGCCCAGATTGCTATATACTTTCCTCTTATGACCGCCTTTGCTGGGTCCCAGAGGTTTTGGGCTGTGGTGTTACCATTTTCATTGGCTTCCATATACTTTTTAATTTTCTATTTAACTTCTTGGTTAACCCATTCATTCCTCAGTACGATATTCTTTAATCTTCAAGTATTTGCTGTCTTTCCAAGTTTTTTCTTGTGATTGATTTTGAGTTTCACAGCATTGTGGTCTGAAAATACCTACAGTACGATCTTGGTCTTTTTGTACTTGTTGAGGGTTGATTTGTGTCCCAGTATGTGATCTATTCTAGAGAATGTTCCATGTGCACTCGAGAATAATAATGTGTGTTCCGCTACTTTAGGATCAAATGTTCTGAATATATCTGTTAACTCCATCCAGTGCAATGTAGTCATTCAAAGTCATTGTTTCCTTGTTGATTTTCTGCTTAGATATCTGTCCATTGCTGTAAGTGGAGTGTTTAAGTCCCCTACTATTATGGTATTATCAATGAGTTTATTTATGTTTGTGCTTAATTGATTTATATATTTGGGTGCTTCCACGTTGGGGGAGTAAATGTTTATAATTGTTAGATCTTAGTGGATAGATCCCTTAATCATGATATAATGCCCTTCTTCGTCTCTTGTTATAGTATTTATTTTAAAACCTAGATTGTCTGGTTTAAGTATGGCTATTCCAGCTTTCTTTTGGTAACCATTGGTGTGGTTGATGGTTCTCCATCCCTTTATGTTCAATCTGATGGTGTCTTTAGGTCTAAAATGGCTCTCTTGTAAATAACATATAGATGGATCTGGTTTTCTTATCCATTCTGTTACACTGTGTCTTTTGATTGGAGTGTTTAGTCCATTGACATTTAGAGTGAGTACTGAAAGATAGGAATTTATTGCTATTGTGTAGCCTGTAGAGTTGGAGTTCCCTGTGGTGTTCTCTTGTCCTATCTAGTCTTTGTTGCTTTTGGTCTTTTTTGTTTTGTTTGGTCTTTTCTCCACTCAAAGAGTCCCCCTTAAAATTTCTTGCAGGGCTGGTTTAGTGGGCATGAACTCCTTTAGTTTCAGTTTGTTTGGGATACTCTTTATCTCTCCTTCTATTTTGGGTGACAGCCCTGCTGGATAAAGAATTCTTGGCTGTATATTTTTCTGATTCAGCACGTCAGATATATCTTGCTACTCCTTCTTGACCTGCCATGTTTCTGTGGATAGGTCTGCTGCAAACCTGATCTGTGTTCCCTTAAAAAAAGTTAAGGACTTTTTTTCCCCTTGCTTCTTTCATAATTCTTTCCTTGTCTGTATATTTTGTGAATTTTGCTCTGATACACCTTGTTGATGGTCGGTTTTTGTTGAATCTAATGGGAGTTCTCTCTGCTTCTTGGATTTTGATGTCTTTGTCTTTCCCCAGGTTAGGAAATTTTTCCGCTATGATTTGCTCATATGATCCCGGTAGAATTTACTTTTTACTATACTTGCAGCTTGAAATGCTGATGCCTTGACATTTTACATTAGGTGGTGATTTTTTTCAGAAATGATATAATTTAAACTATCTTTTTCATTGAAGTCAAAGTTGACCCTAAGCAGCTTTCAATTCAGAGCTGTAAATTTTTGTTTGTTTTCCTTGAAAGGCAACAGAAGACCACAATGGGATCAACTAAAGATAGCTCAATTTCATAGTTTTAAGGATATTCTGGAAGTTTCTTTCCCCATAAGAAGCATACTAATGCTTCTTGCAAAGCAGATACTGATTTTTTTATTTTTAACCTTTTTTAAGTGAAATTTATAATAAATCATAGATACCTATTAAACTGATCTAAAAATTAAAGCATTTCTAAATTGCCTTCTCTTATTTCATTTTCATTGAAAGAGCAGTTTAAAGAAGATGGAGGGATCCTGTGAAATTGTGTGATGTGAGTGAAAGGTGGTGGTGCCTCTCCACATTTAAATTAGAATCTAGGAGGGAAAATCAGGCAGGTTAGGTATAGATATAGCTATCATACAACTGAAATACTTGTTCCAGAAGGAAGAGTTATGGATAGGTTAGGAGGTGGGAGAGGTTACTCTCTTTTACCAGAGGAGGTAAATCAGGAAAGACTTCTTGGAAGAGGTAAGGTTTGCTCTAGATCTTGAACCCTGAGTGTGATTTTGACATTGCGAAGTTTGAAGAGGAACAAGTCATCTGAATATTTAACATGAAGTTGTTTTACCTGCTCAGTCTTTACCTATGTTATATTGTTTAGTCGCAGTACAAAAGATGTTCCCAATTAATTTGTTAGTTGAAATGAATTAGTGTATAGGATTTCCAGTAAAACAATCAGGAATCTCTTTCTGTGCTTTTAGTAGCCTGCTCCTGTTCATAAAGATTTCTTTTTTCTTCTCTGAAATTGTTGAAAAGCAGTTTCTATTGGTTATTCTATTGGTCATTCCCACCATAGTTTTGTTATTGTAATGGAAATATCACCTAAACTGTAGCCTGGATGATGAAATAATTATGGAAAAAAATTGGGGCATTGTATTCACTTGTTCGATTCTCAAGAGAAAAATAAAAGTGTTTCTTTTCCCTTTAAAGTGGAAAAGTTGATTAGTTACCTAATCACAATTCAATTCTCATATGTACAGTTTATTTCTGAACTGCTGTGAACAAAGAGCAATAAATTGGGTTGTGTTTTAGGCTTGGAATACGTATCTGGCTTTCTGTGGACTGTCAATAGAGAGGAATATTGAGAGTCCTTTACAAATGTTGGATATGTTGGCACTTTGTGGATCCAAAAATAACCTGATGTTTGGATCAGAAAGGAAAGGCTCAGCGCCTCAGCGGTCTGGGGGCAGGGTCTGGGGCTGGTAATGGGGTGATCAGTGTGCATGCCTCCTGGCGCTATGGGCACGTTAGAGCCTGACTCCATTCACTTTTGTTTTTCTGTTTATTTAAAACAAAGAGATGGATTTAGGACAACTTCCTTGATTAAGGAGGTGGAAATGAATCTTATTTCAGAGTGATTTGCATGGGCTTTGTCAAGTGTGTTGTGATACTTGTTATGTATTTCATAGTCTGAGGAGTCCTAAAGAAATAAAGGTGTACTGATTTGTTCATTCATTTTCTGTTTGGAGCATGGGGCTTTTTAAGAATTTTTTAAATTTACAAACCAGTTTTATGTTTCACATGTAATTCTCACAGCATGTTTATGGGATAAGCAGAAAAGGGATTGCTATCCTGCTTTCATGGCAAAAAACTTGAGAGGCGTTAGTTGAAATATATGCTGAAATAGGGAATTATTTTAAAAGTAATTTTAATTGCAGTATTATTTTACATATGTATATGTAACATTGTCAAATGTTTTGCATATGGCTTAATACAGTTTAAAGTTTCTGATTTATTTGAAATTCAGACCTCTTTGAGAGGGTACTTTTTTTTTTTTTTTTAACTAATCCATTCTCTTAAAAATCTGTTACTAGATTCAGCATTACCTAGTGGTAATGATACTCTTTTCATGGAGATGAGATTTTTCTTTCATTATTCATTTTCCTCCAGACTTTAAGTATCCTGACCAATAATTCAGTACATGTGATCCTTAAGTAGATTATAACATCTTCTGAATGGTTGAATTACCTTAGGGAAATAGTCCCTATAATTCTTCTTGATCATACAATGTCTTTTCCAGTCAAGATTTCATTAATATGCAAATACTTGTCTGTAACAGCAGTGAATCTCTTTATCACACTATATTTAATTAACATATAAATAACCCTGTGAGACACTTTCCTAATTTCTGATATAGGCAAGCCTGTTTAAATATTGTATTTGTAACCAGAAAAATTCTATTAAGAATCAAATTCATATTTCATACACAAAGTATATGCGTTATTTTAAGAAATGTTTTGACCTCCATGTGTACTCAGTTTTTAATCCTAAAAGTTTGGATATTATTTGTAATAACTCTAGGAGAAGAACTCCGTGAGATATATAAATGTTGGGATCACATGACATGGCATTGACACACATTTGATCTAGAAAACTGGTCATCTGGGACACCAGGAAGAGCAAAGGCTTTTCGTCAAAAAATGGGTGTGCGTCCTGGTCCTCATTCCTGTTAGCTGTGTTACGTGTGAGAAGCCACTTAGCTTCTCTGAACTACAGTTTCTTCCAGGTGTGGAGTGGGGACCTTGGGGAGGTATCGTGATGATTAAGTAATCTAAGAGAGGTGTCCTCGGTCACAGCTCCTAGCGCGTCGCTGGTGGTCAGCCTGCCGCAGTGGTTGTAGTAACAGAGGACAGAGGAGTAGAGGTGACGGCAGCGGCACCAGTGGTTTCGGTTCGTGTCGATACGAATGTTATGTTGCGGATATCGTTCAGCTTCAGGTGTGCTGATGAGTAAGCAGAATGTTTATAATAGGGAATATCCTCCCTGATGACACTGACGCAGGGATTGCTCACCTGGGACAGGACCCCTTTCCTGGTAACAGGTACCTGACGTTCCACATTACTAATCTGGAAGTTGCTTGGTGAACCTTGTTTCCAATGCAGTTAAAGTTTTTAATTTCAGTTTTGACTGAATGATATATGCAGGAAAATGAATCCGTCGTAAGTGTACAGCTTGATGCATATTTGGACGAGACAAAGAAGGTCATTATCAGCATCCCTCACGCCCTCTCCTGTCACCATCTTGCCGTCCTCGTTTCCGAGAGCACCACTGGCCCTGACTTTTGACGTCACAGCCCAGTTTGGTCTGTGAAGGAAATGGAGAGGCTTGTGAGGACTGTTCTTACCTCTCAACAGAGATCAGATTTCTTTTTCTTCTTCTTCTTCCTTTTTTCCCCCCTTTTTATATCTTGTTGGAAAAAACAGACCGCTTCATGAATTTGGGTGTCGTTCTTGTGAGGCGGCCATGCTGGTCTTCTCTGTATCGTCCCGATTTGGGTATATGTGCCGCAAAACGAGCACAGAGATGGGATTTCTGATGTCCTTCAAATTGAATACTTTTCTAATGCTGGATGTACATTGATATTTTGGGTTTTTTTAATATTTAAAGTGTTTCTTATTGGCAGAATATACAGTTGACGTTGGAATAACGTGGGTGTTAGAGGCACTAACACTCTGTACAGTAAAAAAATCTACGTTTAACTTTTGATTCCCCCAGAACTTAACTACTAATAGTCTACTGTTGACTGGAACACTTACCAGAAACATAAACAATTAACCCATGTTGTATGTTGTATATATTACATACTGTATTCTTACAATAAAGTAAGCTAGGGAAAAGAAAATGTTATTTTAAAAAATCCTAAGGAAGAGAAAACAGTTACAGGACTATATTGTATTTATCAGAAAAAATCTATATAAGTGGACCCATAAGTTTGAACCAGCGTTGTTCAAGAGTCGACTGTAATTGGATCTTGCTGTTTTATCTAGGCTGGGAATCTCTGCCTTTTGATGGTCATGCTTTGGCTGTTTATATATAATGCATAGTTCAGTATAGTTCAGCTTAAAGCCAACATTTTGGTATGTGTTTACCACTTTTTCCATTTAGTCATTATTTGCCTTTTTCTCTTTTCCTGCTTTTCTTTTTTTTTAAAGTTTATTTATTTATTTTGTGATAGAGAGAACCAGTGGGGAAGGGGCAAAGAGGGGGGAGGATAGAGGATCCACATCCGTCTCTGTACTGACAGCAGAGACTCTGACGTAGGGCTCAAACTCACCAGCTCTGAGACCACCACCTGAGCTGAAGCTCGACGCTTAACCAACTGAGCCACCCAGGCACCCCTCCTGCTTTCTTTTGAATTGGTTATTTTTGTAATTCCATTTAATCTCCTTTATTGGGTTATTAGCTATACTTTTGTGTGTGTGTGTGTGTGTGTGTGTGTGTGTGTGATTGCTCTAGTGGTTACAGTATACTTCTTTAACTTATGATAGTCTGCCTTCAAATAATATAGTAGAACTTCAAGTATAATGTAAGAACCTTATGACAGTATTTCTCCATTTCTTCCCTGCTGGCTTTTGACTGACTGTTGTCATATATTTAACTTTTACATACATTATGCACTATACAATACACTTTTATCATTTTTGCTTTAATCAGTGACTTTTTAAAAAATTAAAAACGGGGTTCCTGGGTGGCTCAGTCAATTAAGCATTTCACTCTTGGTTTTGGCTCAGGTCCTCATCTCACGGTTCTTGGGTTGGAGCCCCATGTTGGGGTCTGTACTGACAGTGTGGAGTGTGCTTGGGATTCTCTCTCTCTTACTCTCTCTGCCCCTTTTCCCACCCCCCACTCTCTCTGTCTCTCAAAATAAATGGATAAACTTTAAAATAAATTAAGGGGTGCCTGGCTGGGTTAGTCAGTTAAGCTTCTGACTTTGGCTCAGGTCATGATCTCGAGGCTTGTGAGTTCCAGCCTCATGTCAGGCTCTGTGCTGACAGCTCAGAGCCTGGAGCCTGTTTCTGATTCTGTGTCTCCCTCTCTCTCTGCCCATGTCTTGCTAGCTCTCTCTCTCAAAAATAAACATTTAAAAAAATAATAAAAGAAAAAAATTAAAAATGTGTTTTATATTTACACATGTATTTACTCGCTGCTCTTCATTGCTTTTGGTAGATGCAGATTTCTCTCTGGCATCAATTTTGTTCTGTCTGAAAGACTGTCTGGCATTTCTTGCAGGGCTGGTCTGCTAGTGATGCATTCTCTGCTTTTGTATGCCCGAAGAAGTCTTTCTTTTGCTTTTGTTTTGGAAAATACTTTTGCTGAGTGTAGGATTCTAGGCTGTCACTTTTCTCTTGTTAGTCTTTCAAAGGTTTCCCTGCACTGTCATCTCCCATTGTCTTCTGTGAGGTCGGTTGTCATTCTTCCTGTTCGTTTTTACAGCATGTGTCTTATTTTCTTTGGATGCTTTTAAGATTTTTTTATAACTCGTTTTGAGCTATTTGATTATGATGCTCCTTTGTATGGTTTTCATCGTGTTTATTCTCATTGCTGCTTATTGTTTGCTTTTTTTTTTTGGATCTACACCAAATTTAGGAGGTACATGCTTAGTACTTCTTTAGATATTTTTTTCTCCCTTGACCTCCCCTCCTTAACACGCACTTTCTTTTCTGGGCCACGACTTACATGTGTGCTGGCCACTTGATCTTATTTTACAATTCCTTTTTTTCCCCTGTGTTTTTCTGCATTTCATTTTGAATACTTTCTATTACTATGTCTTTGTAAATAGGTTACTTCTGCGATGTCTGCCACTAAACTATCAGCATAGTGTCATCTCTGCTGCTGAATTTTCATTCCTTGGAGTGTGGTTTGGTTTTTTAAAAAATTCTCTATGCCTACCACATGTTATTGGTGTTTTTAAATAAATTGATAATTGTCCTGGTTATGGCCATAATTTCCTGCTTTTTTTCATAACTGGTATTTTTGATTGGATGCTAGACATGTAGGCTTGTTCATCTCACTAGCTGAGCTCCTGTCCCGGTTGTTATGGAACATACCTTGCCCCTTCCCATCATGCACTTTTATTTAATCACACTGTGTGTCTGTGTGTGTGTGTGTGTGTGTATATTCTAAAGTTAGCTTCTCTGTGAAGTTGATCAAAATGGATTTCTTAATTTATAATGGGTTAAATTAATCTGTAATGGATTTCCTTAATCTGAAAATTCTAGAACGTGACCTAGCAATACAGGGATAGGGCTATTTATTTGATATTTTTTTCTTGTTAGTGAATAACTCGGAGCCTGTTTTTATTCCAGGGTCAACTCTCTTGTCTCTTCCTGCACTTCTTGTATCTGATTGGGTGAATGAGTGCTTATTAAGTACTAGGAATCTATATTAAAAAAATATAAGATCGGGGCTGCTGGGGGGGCTCAGTTAGTTAAGTGACTGGCTCTTGATTTTGGCTCAGGTCACAATCTCACAGTTTGTGGATTTGAGCCCTGCACTGGGCTCTGTGCTGACAACATGCTGAGTCTGCTTGGGATTTTCTCCCTCTCTTCTCTCCCCACGCCTCCTTGTTCTTGCTTACTCACTTGCTCTCTCAAAATAAATAAAACTTAAAAAAAAATAACATTTCCTTCAAATTCTCCAATGTGTTGCTTTCTTTCTCTTCCTACAATCTCTAGTTTAACTTTGAACTTCATCAGCAGGAGAGATGTGTTAGAATTACTTGCACTACAGATACCTGGACCATTGTCTTCCCAGCCACAGCCTGTGCAATTGACATCAGAGCCTCATCCTCTTCATTTCTGAGGTTTTCATTTCTTCAGTTGTGATTGTAGGTCAGTCTGCAGTGTCATTTGCCCTGGACTCAAAGAACTCATGACGGAAAGGCTATGAATAGACATGTACGGCAGTGTCTTAGGGCAGACTACTTTTGTGCTTCTTTGTCTAAAGCTTAGGACAGTTCATATCTCTGTGCTTATGCGTGCTCACACACAGTCCCAGAGTCACCTGCAGTTTATAGCATTGTAGTGTTGCTGAGGGCATGATATACAATGGGAAGCTGTACAGTCCATTGCAGAAATTTTAAATCAGAAACATTTGAAAGAACCCTAAAGTACCTTGTCTAAATCTTTAGCCACAAAGAATAATGATTTAAGCTCTAAATACTCCTGTAGTTCAGTGGTTGTTTTGTTTACTTATTTCTTCATATTCATCCTTTGGTCCTTCAGTTCATCTGTCTCTCCATCCACTAAGTATTTAGTGAGGTTTAAATGAATGCCAAGTATTATACTAAGAATATAAAAATGACTAACACTTTGAAGGAACTTAGTTTTCAAAGGAGCAAGACACAAATAAATAATGGTTAGTATCTTATGATCAAGTTATATCCTGATAAACCCATTGCTGAAAATATTAAGTGAAAAAATGCGTTTAATACACCTAACCTACTGAACATCATAGCTCAGCTTAGCCTTCCTTGAACATGTTCATAACACTTAATACTAACCTACAGTTGAGCAGAATCATCTAACACAGGACTATTTTATAATAAAGTGGTGAGCATCCTCGTGTAATTTATTGACTGCCGTACTGAAAGTGAAAAACAGAATGGGTATGTGATTACAGAAGGGCTGTAAGTAAATTGGTGGTTTATCCTGAGTGATCGCGTGTTGGACTGGGAGCCATGGCTCTCTGCTGACGTCCAGCATTACTACATGGCACTAGCCCAGGAAAAGACCAGATTTCAAAATCCAGAGTACAGCTTCTCCCAAGTGCATATCCCTTTCACACCATCGTAAAGTAAAATAATTGTCAGTTGAACCACCCTAAGTTGGGGGCCATCTATCTGTAATTCTGTGCAATGACAGCAGTAATGGGAACACATACAAAGCCTAGTCTTGTGGAGGAAAGTCAGGTAGGCTTGATCTGGGAACATCACAGAAGGTTTCAATTTTTTTTCTCCTTTAATGATCACTACATTCATGAATCCAATTAAAGAAAACATTGTAAATATGCATGTCATGAGTCAAGACTACTTTTCTGTCCATTTAGATGAGGTTAAAGTGCTGGATTTATAATTTTTACGAGTCTTTTTAAATCTCAACCTGCAGTTTTTTCTTCCTGTTGCCACTATATACAACTTGGCTTCCGAAGTTTAAATTTTTCTTTTCTTGAAGACTTTTTCAGAAGTTAGAGTAACACAGTGCTTTCTTTTCAGAAGAACCTTGCTGAGTAATTGCTTAATCGAATCACTTCGCTGAGAATTTTCTGTAAGTTAGGTACTGAGGGTATAAAGTGCCCCTGCCCTGAAACCCATGTGTACAGATAATCACAGTAGCAGTGAGGTAAGTGCTGTACAGGTATCAGTCCTCATAGCTCTGTCGTCTTAATTTACTTTTATAGATTTCATGTATTGTTCATATTAACTTTTTCCCTTTTGTAAGTTGAAATAAAGTTGATACACATTGTAGGTCAGATCAGTTTCGATGTCAAATTAGTTTCCCAACATAGAGATTCGACACAT